ACTCATTAACACTGAGGCAGATGCGTCTGCCACAAACTGACAGAGCTAGTCACTTCAAAATCTTGTTTCCCTGCATTTCATGTGCCATGCAAATGAGTTACAAACGCGTAGGTTGCACCCATGGCATTATCATTTTAATTAGTCTCATCTTATCATATATTCAGAACTCAATTACAACTAGCATTGGTTTTGAATTGATTAGGCTAGATGAATGAAGTGTTCTGCAGAGGGTTTAAATGAAATAATTGAAATTAGATCTTTAACCTTTAACTTTCAGTATTTTACAGAACAGCATTAGCATTGACAAGTAATGTCTGCACTATAAATTCATGTATTTATGGTGTAATAGAAAACAAAGCATGCACTCGCTGAACTGTTGGAACTCAGCTAAGTGGCTCATCTTTTTTAAGTTTTCACATTTTCATCACGGTTAAAATAATCAATTGAAAATATTTCAAAATATCACTTTGATTTGTACTTAATTAAAGGATTGTTTGCAGAATGCTGTTCATACATGCACTGTTATTGTCACAAGAGTCCATTGAATTCTTAGCTTTTTCCCGTGTTGCCTGGGTCTTCACTAAGTACAGCTCAAAGAGCGACAGGTCAAGCCAACTAAACAGTCTCACACCTTACTGTGCAGAATACATTTTTGTCAAGACCACCATCCCTCCCATATGCAACCAGGGGACCCAATCATATTGTGCTCACCCTTTGGCAAAGGCCCTCCAATCGAGGGATGAGTAATGACTAGGCAGGCTAGCATGCCGTGATCCCAGCTTTCTAATTAGTCTTCCATTAACTTTTTCAACCTTGGCGGCTGCAGGGTGCACACTCGACACACACACAAACACACACACCACTACACACACACACATACACACACCTCACAGCCCCAGACCAAAATATTGGGCCTCGTCTTCAAAATCTAAAATCTAAAATGGAGTATTTAGTAACATTTTTTTCCCCCACAAAAACAGGACATAAAACCGCCAAAAATGTATAACAAACAAAACAAAGTAGCAGTACCAAAATAAATATACATAAAATACATACATAGACATACATATAAAATATACGCTAGTAGTCTCATTGCGATTCTTGTCTCAGAGATTATGCTTTTTCATGTACAAGGTTTCCTTTTTTTTTGTTAGGGTACCTCTATTGCTTGCACTTCTGAGGAATTAAATAAAGGGTTCCCAGGTTTCCTCAAACACATTTTGTCTAGTTCTCAATATGTAAGTTATCTTCTCTAATACCATGCATGATACCATTTCATAACACATTCTATGACACTTGGCCTGTTTGTTTTCTTCCAATATAAAGCAAGAAGCTGTTTGGCTTGCACATATCTGTGAGTGTATATTACTTCTTCCTTAGTTTGAAGGGTACAAGTTCAAAATGTAAATCTTAGGATCAAGAGGGAACTCTACACAAGTGATTCTGTCCATCACTTGTTTTACTTCTTTCCAAAAATCCATTATTTTACTACATTCCCAAATACAATGATACAGGGTTACACTTAGTACATGTGTCTGTTATATTGCTGTGAAAGTGGTGTAATTTTTACTGGTGTTGCATATATATGCATTAACCAATTATATTGCAATAGTATTTGACAGACCTTCACAATTAGTAACATCTCCTGCTCCGCAGTGGTAATTTAAATTAGGCTCTCTTTCATCCCAATTAGCCAAATGAGTATGTTTTATTTGGGGGGTATTTTCCTGTGGTTCCAATTTATGATGTTTTATGTTCCACCTTTTACATATAGTTACAGTCATAAAGTGTAATGCCACTTTCTGTATCATGCAAAAAGACATCAATATATAAAGTAGGCGTGAAAGATTGTGATTTTATGTGTGCACGTAATCCATGATATAGCAAATTGTGTAATTTAAAGTGTATATGATTAGAAACTGGCGCATGTGGTTTTGGTTAAAGCTACTATTCATGAAAATGCTCTCCAACTATTCATGGATTTTTCTATGACTATTCAGTAGTGTATGTGTGCATGCAGGAGATAAGCTGTCTATGGGTTGACTTTGAAAGAACAAGCAGTTTAAAGTACAGACTGGTGGAATTTACTTTTACAAAGAAAAAGTCACAGATCACCTTCTCTGTTGTGTTTGATTTATTTTATACTTTTAAGACGCCTTGGCCAACAGTGTTTGTTTGGATACAGACAGAATGTCAATGTTCTACACTGTCATTTCTGTTTTTTATTTGGCATCCTGGTCTGGCTGATATCTGTCAAAGACCATACGATGTGTTTCTGATCTGTAGTATAAAAGAACTTGCCCAAGCTTTCTGCAGAATGTGGACATGCTGTAACAGAAACTACACAAAGAGATTGACAGAAAGGGAGAGGGAGCCAGAGAGAAGAGTCTACATGACATGGATACTAAGATTTTCCGTTTTGTTTGGTTTTGTTTTAGCACAAGCTGTCAGTTAACTCTCTTTTATCACATCAAACACAACATAGGAGAAATGTAATCAGCATCGCTGGTGTCTGTGTGTGTGTGTGTGTGTGTGTGTGTGTGTGTGTGTGTGTGTGTGGTGTGTGTGTTGTGTGTGTTTGTGTGTGTGTGTGTGTGTGTGTGGTGTGTGTGTGTGTGTGTCCGCATGTGCACACACAGGCATTTCTGTGTGTTTCAATGCATGAATTCATGATTCATCCTGTTTCACTGTGGGCAGTCAGTTTTAGAATGGAGCTCCATAAAAGAGTAATGGAAATTCCTGGGGAGCTGCTGTCCTGTGGCCTTCCAGCACCCAGTGGTATGCACTATCTTGGCGCATTATCACTTTTTGCACAATCTGTTTGTCAGCGAGACCATGACTTCAAAGGAGACTTAAAGCTTTCTTTCATTTTCTGTCGGGGTTGAGGGGTTGAGAGACTGAGTCTACATTTTATGAACAAAGCCCCCCCAAGACATCTAGCAAAATAAAATGTTACCTTCCTGGATGCAGCTCCTAACATTTACTCCAAAGCATGGATCATAAACTATTAATAGATATATGTCTGTATGAGCACCAGAAGGGTGCCTCTTTGAATCGGATCCTTGTGTTGGGCAGGGTCAGGAATGGGGCTAAAGCTGGCAAGCTGCCTTTATTCCCCCATAACATTGCTATCCTGCATGGAGGAGGATAGGAGGTGGATAGCCGCCATTATGGCTGTTGTGTAAAATTGCCATTATTCAGTCAAGCGATTATCTGCTGCCGTGGTGTGTAATGCCTCTCTGTGACTGTGACTGATGCTTGCACATCTAAGACTCCACTGGAGAAGAGTGAAAGTGAAAGAAGTGACCTCTTTCTTTGCGACATCTTTCAACAGCTCCATGTATGACTTTATTTAGACACATTATCTCAGTATGGGAAGTGTACATGGCCTGTTTATCTCCGTTTATAAACCAAAAGTAGGCCCACTGTTGACAGTGTGAAAAACATTTCATTAATGCTATCTGCATGATTTGCTAAATTTTGTCAACTTTATCATCCTCCACATTAAGGCTAAAATCCTTCAAGCATTCAGGATTTATTTTCCCAGAGGGCAAAGAACAAAATGCTTATACTGTTTCTACTGAGTCAACAAATAAAAGTAAAATAACTCAAATATAGGTAATTAATATGTAATAATTTGTCATTCTAAAACTCCTCGTGTTCAGAGTTTTGTTGTATGCTCGTGGGAGGTATAATAATATATCAATAAAATTCAGCTCTTTATCATCATCTTGTGGCAGCCATTCCTGTGCTGCATGAACAGCAAACCTAAACTAACTTTGCGGTTAACATTAGACACATTAGAGGTTGGTTATGTACCAACAGTATAATGCCAACACTGCAGCAGTGTTTGGGAGTGTGAGCTACAGCTTTCAAAAAATGTACAAATGATTTTTCTAGTTTTGGAGAAGTGTAGCGTGCACATTTGTTAGTTTGGGGGATCTGGGAGCATCAGGAGAAAATACAGAAAGCCAGGTCATCGATTAATTAGAAAGTTTAAAATCTCTATAGGCAGTGAGGAAACAGAGCAGCAACCGACATTGATCATCAACACCCACTGAGCTATTAAGGTTATGTTGTGCGAAGAGCTCCTGAAATATCACTGATTTCACCTTTTTTGAACTTTATAGACCTTTTTTTTTTACAAACATACTGCAGCAGACCAGACTTGTCATAGCAGCCACTGTATGCAACACATAGATTTCTTTCCAACGCTTTAAAGAAGTGAATCGTCTCTCACCCCACGTCTGTCTGTGATCAGCATATAACACATTGCAGTTGTTGTTTAGTGTCAACCACTTACCACTCTAAAGTTGTCATTGACATAACTTACTGTTACACAACTGCACAGCTATAAGAAAAAAATCCAGGGAAAGAAAAAGAAAGACAATGGTGTTTTTTTTGTCTTTTTTCGCATTTTGTGAACCTCAATGTAATAATTACAATAATAATTGTCTTTCAAAGGTTTTCAATTTCACAAATTGTCTTTTCATGACATTTGTTCAATGTTTCAATATCAGATGCACTTATTCCAAGTTGTTTTTCTTGTCAACATTTAATTATGCCTTTATGATCCTTAGTAGAAGAGCAAAATAATTTATTTGCCATTTTCTCTTGTAATATTCACTTTGGGTGAAAGTATTCTCCATTGCTCAGCTTTAATGTTGCAATTTTGTGTCATTGCACTTTGTGTGATACTGAGACGTATTGCTCTGCTCTAACCAATGCACCCATTCAATAATGCTTATTCTGATGTAATGTGCTGTAATATTCTCTAAAAGCTGTTACAGAGGGTCTAGTTTGGGTGGTCTTGATTGTGAGGGTAACTAATTACATTTCTGAATGGCAATGATTGTCTCCTCCTGATGCACACTGTCATCAGCTCTATGCTTGTCCAGTTAGTTTTCCTGTCATATAACTCACAAGAGTAACTTTTTTATTTTTTTTTGCAATAAGCTTGTACACTTATTGCTCTTCTGTCTCTTTTTCTTTCTGTGCAGATTACACGGGTCATTTTCTGTGTCTTCCTTGAGAACGACTTTGCCATCTACAAGAAGAAAATGTCTGTCATTTTCCAAGGTATGTGTGTTTACTTCCAATTGGCTAGACTGCATATCGTTAATACTATATCATTACATTTCATCTGCTACCCATTACTGTTGTGAATTGTACTACGTAACGGATAAATGAATGATTAGTATGCTGGGTTTTTTCAAGATCTCCTTTTGAAGATTTTGTGTAATATGTGTCATCACCTACCTAACTGAGCATCTGTATAGACCAAGGCAGTATTGCTAGTTTATCCTAGGACACATCTGCAGCAAGAGATATCTTGTTCCTGGAAGCAATAGTGTAGGGACTGTCAGGCTTGGGTGACACCTTCAAATGTAAATAAATTCAGTGCACCCGTGCGACCATTTGGGTGATTAACAGTGAGAATTTATGCTGACAGTTGGTAAAATAAGTGTCAGGTTCTCTATGGATTGCCTTAATAGGATTGGAATAGTTAGACTTCTTATCAGTGAACCAGCAAGCTGATGTTTTACATAATTGTTGATATTCTGATGAGACTTTAATGTCAGATTTGATCGACTGTAATAACGGTCTTAGGCAGCGAATGTCTCCCGCAAGAACTAAAAAATTCAGGGATGCATAGCAACCACTGATCGTCCTTGGTTACTGCTTCTCAATTCTGTATGTGAAATAAACAAACATCCATTATCTTCTGCTCCCACTCTCTTTTCTCTCTCTCTCTTTCAATTCCCTCCCCCCTTTCACACCATCATCTTTTTTCGGGGGCCAGGAGCAGTCACCAGCTCTGATGGGGGCTCCACGGAGGATTGAGTTTAATAGCTAGGGAGCTGAAAGAGGCTGGCTGCCTTCACCAGCCTAGCATTACCTCCCTTTTACCTCACTTTTCCCTCCCCAATGGAGTACCGGCTCTCAGGCCTTCATCTCGCTGCTCCCAGATGGAGAGTGTTTTGTTCCCCCTGCGCTCCCGTCATCTGTCCTGCTCCCCGCCCAGGCTCTTCCCTGAAAGATTACATTCTAGGGAGAGACCTTAATTATATTGCCTGCCCCCATGCACCCAGCACCCGTCTCATCATATTAGTGCTCTGAGATGAGAATCTGGTGCTGTTGTTCTCCAGTTATCACTCTCGCCATTTACAAGTGCTGTCAGTGAATAAATGCCCTATATCTCTCCATGACTAGGAACAGAGGGGAAACTAAACAACAGGCTCTGAGCGTGTCACAAAGTGTAATCAGAAAAGTTTTGGGAGCTACATTATTAGAAGATAACTCTTTAAAAATGATTATTTATCATCATGCAATGAGTTGCTAATGAAGGAGGCAGAGGTCAGTCTTGTGTTCAATGGAACACTACCACAGCACACACCAGGATGCCAGGCCAAGTGCTTTTCCTCGTCACTGTGTCTTGCCTGTCATATCCCCTTTGACGTCTGGGGTCAGAGCCACCTTTATCACTACTGTTTGTGCATGTGTGGGCTAGAGACGATACTAATTTTATTATAGATCAGGTGGATAAATAAGTGTGACATTCCCACTCAGGGTCATTGTCTTGAGTGAGGCAGACAGTTTTTTATTTATTTTTTTACACCACACTTGCCTACACCTGCTCCAATCTTTCAACCCATGGTGTTTGTTCAAAGCTTTTACCATGCTCTCTATGAAAACAACAGCTCTTTTAAGATTTTTCACATGGAGGAATTCAAAGATAACGTAATTACTGGTGCTGTGACTGTAGACTAGACACTCGTGGAAGGGAGTGAATTTAAATGTTTTTCCCAGCCAGGCTTCACCATGTAGATGTGTTTAACACTAGTTGATAAGTGTGCTTTAAAGAAAGAAATGCTGATTGGTATGATTGCACCATGTAGGGAATGCATAACCCCGTAGTGTGAAAAGACTTACATTTAGCCTGCGCAGAATGGCAGTCGTGAATCAGAGGCTGTGAATTAGCTCTGCAGGTGTGCTCGAGCGCTTTCAGAACATCCCATCATCCTCACTGCTAGAGACAGACAGTCAGGTAGATCTTGCAGCAACACTGAATGCATCACGCAGAGGCCTGAGACCGTTCTGTCTACTGCAACATCCTCTTGCTTTCAATAACCCTCAGTCACATCGACCCTCCCTGTTCTCTCTCCCTATCTTCCTCACTAATTCTCACTTACACTTCTCCTTGTTCCCATGCTACTTGCCCAATACGTCATCCCTCCACTTTCTATTATTCTTCCTCATTATATCAAGGAGGAGCTTCTCCACCGCCTCGTCTATCAGGAGGCAGTTATGAAGCTGTTGTGTATGGTGGCCTTGATCTTTCTGTAATTTGTATATAAGTGTGTGTGTGTGTGTGTGTGTGTGGTAATGTGAAACTCAGTGACATCACTTTCAAGCATGTCTAGAGCTGAAGGTAGGCACAATAGATTTTTTTATTGAAGTCTTACTATACTCATTTTTCATCGTATAGCTGCTTTCCTCATATTCAAGCAATCTGTCAAGTGACAATGACTGGAGCAGGAACGTGTAAACAGGACATTTGCATACAGGAAATTGCTTTATTACAATGTGCATTCCCACAAGCTGTCACTGTGGGAGAGCCAAAATATGGTTACATCTCTGCAGAAGGAGGAAACTGAAAAATAGCCTTTGCTGACAAGAATACTCGTGCGCACATGCATAAAGGCCCATCGGCCAGGACACACAAACGAGTATTGAGTATTAGAATATTGACATCACAGTGAAACATTAGGACAAATGACTTTTCTTTGTAGTGGTATGTGCCTGGTGTTCAACAGACATGCCAGAGGAGCTGCTGTTTTATGAATAATACTGATGAGTTCTCACACACAGACAAAGGTCTTTTTATGTACCACCAGCTCAAGGAGCACTTCAGTTGTTTAGAGTCATGTGTTTTGTAAAAGAGGCCTCTCAAACACACAAATACTGAAATATGCAAATAGACAAACAAGATAATACACACAGCAACTACACGTAAAAGCTTTTGCCTCTGTAGTACCATTCACCATCCATTACACACCTCCCCAACTGAACTCATAACCAGTGATATAATGACCTATTCATTACTTTGAAAAGCCATAAACCGTAGGCCAACACATCTCAAAGGTACTGTCTCACTATTTGGTTAACAGGATCATCAGTGTTTGCATTTTTGAAGGAATCCACACACCTCTATGAAAATATAAAGTACAACTATTCATTGATTAATATACAGAGCCTTATCAATGCAGTTAATAATATGACATGATTCTATTAAGTATTCAGATTGGTTCTTAGAATGTGATTGACCACATGCTTGCTTTGGCACGTATTATTTGCGAGCATGGAAGCAGTCAGGCAGCTGTGGTTGTAGAGAGTAAAAGCATGTTGAAATTGATTCTGGGTACACTCCGCCACTAATATGATCCGGGTGGCTGCCCACAAGCTGGGCTCCATCTCTTCTTCTCCTCAATCAGCCACAGTGCTGACAATATTAACACAGCCCACAGATCTGCAGGGGCTGCTGCATTCTCTCTCCAACTGTTTCACTGACTTTCCAATTGACATTTATTTACATGGCTCTTAATATACTCCATACTCCCAACCACAGAACCCACGCACCTACCACCCAAATGTCCATAAGCATCCCCTCAACCCCCCATTGCTTTAGGAGAAGTAAAGCTGTGGTATGCACAAGCTTCTATCACACACATGTAATTTGTGGACAGAGGATATGAAGGGCTACAGGAACCCTGTGATGGGTGAAAATGAAGTCTGTGTTGGTTTCACAAGGCTATCCCTTGGGGCAGGGAAATGAGGAGACCATGGTGTGTTAGTGATGTGATTTCCAGAGAGCGCAGTGACACAGAGTCTCTGAGTCAGCTTTGGCAGATATGAGGATTCAGTTCATAGCTCATCATATGTTGAAATGTTCTCATGTTTGTGCATAAATCACAGACATGTTGAAAATGTACAAATGCATGTCCTGACTACCTGCTTATCTGCATGTGCAGTATTGGCTAGACATGGTTATTACTGTGTCATTTAGAGGTTTAGAACTTGCTCGTCTGAAATAGAATTCAGTTAAAATCTTTAAAGCAACATTCATGCAAGAATTGTTGGGGCTTTTATGTGATTTGGCACCCCTTCAATTCTAGATTGCAATTCACATACACCACTGTTGTAAATGTTGTAAATGTACACAAGCATTTTTTTTATGATTACATTGCATTACATTGTTGACTAGCAAGTCGACAACTTTGCTAACACAGCTACATTAACATCCATTAAGTGCAACAACACAAGATATAGCAAGCCAGCTAATATTACTTACTGGCGCAACAGCAAGAAGGCCAGCTCAGTCTCACAGCGTTTAGTTTTGTTTTGTTTTGTTTCAAAAAAGTTCTCGCCAATGAGGTTCGAGAGTCACTCTTGTCCAGCACCTATGCCATGATGTCTGTAGAGACTGCTGACCTCGGCTCCGTTGCACGTTTGCCCAGCTCCTGTCCTGTAGCCTATTTTAGTCCTGCTCGCCACCACCATTACCTACTCGTCCGAGCAGTCCAAAGCTCCTTTGCTATCGGTGTACATACCAACACTGCCCCGGTCCTCCAAGCTACATAAACCGAAGTATAAAAAGAAGTTGTATTTTTACGAGGTGTCACTTCCTGTAGTTCTGTCAACACTCAGGTTGCCAGAAAACCAGTAGAGAAGCAAGGTCATATGCCATGCTAATTAGTGAGCTTTTGAGCTACTGGAAGGTTGATTTTTTTTTTTTTTTTTTACCTTTTACCTTTGGACAGAGCCAAACTAACCAGCTACTGGCTCTAGTTTCATATTTAGTGTACAGAAATGGGAGTGGCATTGATCCTTTCATATAACCATCAGAAAGAAAGCAAATGAGCATATTTCCCCAAATGTCAAACTATTGAACAGTTGATAGAATCTCATCTGTTTCATATCATAATTGTTCATTCAAAGATCAAGCCAGCCATTTACTAAGAATCGCTTGAGTGGATCTATCTGTGCGATTGTGTTGCATTTACCCCTGGAAAGAAAGAGAGAAAGCAATAAAAGTGTCATATAGTATTATTCTAGTATAAGTCAGATATATTTCTTGTGTTGACAGCAGTGTTGAGCAGAGATAATAATGTTATAGCATGTGGCAGTAGCTGAGACACCCCATGTTTCCATTCTTGCACTATTGTTATACTGTATCAGTGGGCCTTCCTTTGTTTCCCCAAGCAGGGTTAGATTAATGCACTGTACCCTTAGATTCAGTGTTATACAAAAGAAAAGTCTGTCGCCGGATCCACTGGGAGCTCTGATGGTTACACTTCTACAGAGCAGATGACAACAGCCTTTCATCAAAGCTAACACTTGCATTTGCTTGTTAACCACCGCACAATCATTGCTCAGACTCATGCACAGCCATACACAAATATATATAGTCATACATGTGCCCTCACACATACTGCGTAATCCATTCATAAGAGCCGTGCACATTTAAACCCAAGCTATACATACTATGTATAGACTCAAAGCATCTTGAGGCACACTGTGTGTGTGTGAGTGTGTGTGTTTGTATGATGGGAGCCGTGAGCAGGCATCCACAGTTCCTCTCCCCTCGTCTCTCACTCTGCAGTTCCTCCTGAAGCAGCATCCAAAGCCTCCTTCTCATCTCCCACCGTGCAACTCAACTCATCCACCCAGAAACACCCCTAGTTCACTCAGTCTGCCTCACACAATAGAAGTACAGAGAAAAGAAGAGAAAATCAAAGGCTTTTTTTTTTTTAAGGCGCACTTGTCCGCCCAAGCCTGCTGTCCTTGTAATTTGAGGAAATGGGAGGTTTTGTGTCATTTATGCTGAGCCTACCAGTATAGATTTAATTGAAAAAGAATGTCTCATGAATGTGTCCCCCCAAACACACACCCACATACCCAGTCATTTGGTGTAATAACTCACTAGATCCAAGGCCGTCTGGTGGGTGAATTGAAGGAGGCCGTGTAGTGTTGTTGGTAAGATTTCGGAGCATGTCAGGTGGTGTGGAAGGAGGACGTGAAAGAGTTTCAACAGCCAGCTTTTGGACATATAAATGGAAGAGGTTTTTCTTTTCATACCGAAATATCATATTTCAATTCATTCTGAAGAAATACTTGACTGGTACTGGTAAGCAGATGAAGTACACAGCAGTATGGCATCAAAACACTGTGCACTAACATTACAATCAAGGAGACAAGTTGTGATGACTCGCTGTATCGTACATTATAAAATAACATGGTTTGACACGCTGCCTTTTTCCCCCTCTGCCAGACAATGACATGGAGGTTACAGAGGAGCAGCTGAAGGGAGGTGAGTGACAGAATATTTCATGGTTGCCTTTTCACCTTAACACCTCCATTAAAGCACACAGAGGCTGAGTGAGTGGCGTAGCTTCAACTCATGACAGTGATTTGCTAGGTTTTATGCAGCAGATGAAATTGAATGTTTATTCATTTGGTGACAAGTTGAATCCCGGGCCTGACACATCGCAGTTAAAAATACTTCATGTCAGGTACATTACATTACAAGAGCTTATATCCACAGCTAATTCCCAACACCATTCTCTTCATCCGGCTTATACGGGCACAATGCCTTTAGACCACCTAAAGCGAGTGACAAAGGAACAGCAAAGCAACATCCCTCCACAGCACCATCTTGGCACACGGCCTGAAACTCCCAGATACTACTTATCAGGATAAACTATTGACATTTGTCTGTGCACTGATGTCCTGAATAAGAAATGGCATGAACAGAAAGCCTCACGAAAGTGTGTATATTGCTTGAATAGCAGGAACAATAGATACAATTGAGTTTAGCAGCAGTTGAATGACAGAAACATTAATTTTTATGAAACGTTTTCTCCAACAAACAGTAGGTTTGTAGAAAATACCTGATGGCAAGTTTTCTTTTACGAGTACAAGGGGCTGACCTGGTTGGACTGCCTTGTCCCTTGAAGACGTCATAGTACACGTGCAACCAACTAAGCAGAGAACAATGTTAGTTTTACTGTCTGTTGAAGGAAGTGTTCAGATGTAGAACCCAGGGTGCTATCAAAATGTTTTTCCTCCCAAAGTCACCCCCATGATTTGCCAATTACACGCATCTGTGTTTTCAATGAGATTCCATTTTGGGTGAACATAAAAGGGCTGTTTTATAAGTGCACTGTAAAATGTGATATTCCAGAGTGAAACAGTGTGCACGCAATGGCTAAATCATAAAGACTTGGCTGAGAGGAACTGCATTTGAGAGTTTGTCCTATTGTTGGCGCCTGAACGGTTACGTTGTTTTCTGTCATGTTCCTCACCAGCTATTTTACGCTGCATACTGTATAATAACATAGCACCAGACCATATCAAGTCAACCGAAATAACCCCTGATAATTCCTAGCTCTGTTGTATTATCATGCCAGCCCTGCCCCGGTCCAGTTTGGCCTTGTTTGATAGGCCTCTGTGTCTGTGCCAAGGACTGGCCTTTTATTCTGCTCCATCAGCCAGAGTTTGAATCAGTGCAGGCTGGAGCCTATTCAAAGGTTCGAATGACTGCCATTCTCACATGGAATGGTGCTTTTGTCCCAGACTGTGCTCCAGAGTTGGTCTCAAAGCCTCACATTCTTCCCCGCTCTCCCACAGGAGTCATTTTTTTGTCAGGCAGGTATAAAACAAAAGAGTGTAAGAGCCATTGAGTTCTCTCACAGGCTCTTGTAGCGTGGTCAGCCAAGACAGAATGGCCAAGTTAGAATAATCACTGCTACGATGAGTTTGGCTTGACAAAAGCAATCTTTACTCACACCCTCTCTCATCTACAGTTCAAATTGACAAGGCGCCACGCACTTCGCATCCTGATGGTGTTAGGGGGATAATGATGTGTCACTCCCACATCTGTAAATCACCATTTATTCTTGTTTATTCGCAGATAAAACACCACCATCGATGAAATCCACAACCAAGGAAGAGAGTGAAGACAGCAACAGAGGTATGCCTATTTTTGGCTGTGTGTGTGTGTCTGTGTGTTTGCATGCAAGTGTGTTTTTATTCCAATTTTCTTAATGATGACTGCATGTTTTGGACATGCCAAGTAACATTACTGGTAGAGGAAACACTGTGTATTGATATGTGTTTATATAATAATTTGTTTTGTGTGCATGAAGTAATGAAGTGTGTTCTTGGTCAGTAATCTCTTGCTTCGTAGTTCCAAGTTCCTCTTTGGGGAAATGAATACAAGATGAAGCTTGGTCTGTTTTAAAAGAATGTTTTCTTAGAGGCAAACTTGTTTAAGAAGCCATTATCTGGCTATTCTGCAGTTTCAGCCCCTTTGGATGTGTAATATTGAAACAGTTATAGGCTTCTCCGATACGATGGACCAAAGATAATTAGATTCTTACACTGGAGGGTGTTAGTAGGCAATTAAAATCGTACACCATCCATTTGTCTTCAAGCCTTAAGGTTGCAGGGAATTTTTGAAGATAGCAGACATGGTTGTTTTCTTTGGGGAAACAGTTCCTCGCGCTGATTGCAAGAGGCTGGACTAGATAGTGCAGACACTTCAAGGGCGTCAATACGTTCCGTGTTAAACAAAACACAATAAGTCATTTCTTCTCGCCTAACATACCTTTCCATAATCCACAGCAGTAATTCAATACGACTCACAAATTCAATCACCAGCATTAGGAGGGCATAAGTATTTTGTAATAATCTTTATAAATCCTAATTTATCAGGCCCGGCAGCTTAATAGTAACTAATCCATTCACAAAAGGCCTTGGCACAGCTTTCTAGCATGGGAACACTCAGTCCTTGAGACAACCTCTCTCACAGGAAGGGAATGAAATGATTTTGTACTGCCTGCTCTGTAAAGGTTAGGTCTGGTCCGATGTAGCACATAGGAAGGATTAATCATAGGAAACGCTCAGATGTCAAGGTAGCAAAAAGCAGAGGAAATGCGAGCTGCAAAAACCGACTGTCAGCTGTGTGAGACAGACATTATAAGATGCTCGAGAGTTTCATACCACCTCTGTACACCTGTGTGAGATCTTCATTCAACAGTAACACACTATATTTCACCGTCTTGTCTATAGAACCAGCAAAGCAGGTCACCTATTTGGTTTAGTCAATATGTGGAGCACTTTTTAGAATGAATTACACTCTGCAGCACAGTTGGTAGAGTGTGTCTGTCAATATTTCTCAGTGTGATCCATCACATCCATCACACTCCTCGGGGAGGTACACTCTCCCCAGTCCATGGGTCAGACATGAGGGGCTTTTAGCCACGGCACTGATGAAGAGAAAACATTAAGGCTTTCTCCACTGTTTTTCCATGATAAATACACTGGTTAGTGGACTGAAGGTAATTATAGGGCTGCTCTGTCCCACACACACAACAATGCTACATTTACAGTTGTTTTGTCACCACACGCTAAAAATGCTTTTTTAGCCTCGGTGGACTGAAGGAAGAAAAGCACACAATAAACACAAACATCCAACTGTGAAAAGGAGTACATAACCTGTGGTACAACTAACCATCAGACAACATCAAAACACATCTCACATTATATTGCACGTTACTGTGCACAATGGTTTTCTCATTCTATTTTTTAAATGGGAATTCACAATTATTATCTCTTATCATGTTTCTTATGATCATTTCTAAGCACTTAATGTCTCATAGATTTCTATTGAATGTCCTACTTTCATAAGACTTTTAAATGATTAAGTGCCATGTAAATAATACATAAAAAAATTATTATAACTAATTATATTTACTTTAACACCAAAACAACAGGGGATCTATTCAGATTTGATAAGCAGTATTTCAACTCTTCTTCAAAAGAAACCAACACACGATCCCTCGTCGACTACAAATAACCCCCGAAGTGTATTTGCAAAAAAGGGTCACAGATTAACTTGGTGTGTGTGTGTGTGTGTGTGAGAGAGAGAGAGAGATGAGCTTTGTCGTGATGTAATCCACATGAAACAGAAGCACAGTGTGCAGATGCTGCGAGCTATAGAAAGAAAAAAGAGACAGAGTGGGAAAAGGGTGGGATGAGAGACAGAGGCGAAGGCTGGCACAGAGGTCCAGGGCGGAGTATAGCCTCTCTAGAGCACACCTGACCTGGCAAGCAGCCCCACAGTGTCTATTATTTGATATCAGATTGGTATTAGTGAGATTAGTGGATGTCACAGGGCACAGTAAAATGTGAACATTGAGCGAGAAATCAATGCCTGGCTGGGTCTGTTTGCCTGGCATGCTTGAGTATTCTGGGAAAGACCCAAAGAAGAGAGGGGGAGATGGTGAGAGATGGCATAGAGCACGGATGGACACGCAGATTAATAACACGATGTGAGGACGGACTGTAAGCCTCTCCATGGGATGCCATCTTTTACACCGTGGCACCCTGTCAACGTCGCTTGCAGACACACACACACACACACACACACATGCAAAAAGGTCTTTGAAGGATTGTGATTTGAATGACTGTTGGTCATCTCAGAGCCCTTTGCCTTTACACATCTCATACATTTTTTAACCCCCCCTTCATTTCTTTTAAGTCTTTTTTGCCCTTTGCTCCAGTTGGCTTTAATGGAAGCAATAACAGGCAGGGATGGGGAAGGAGATAGAGCGTTAACTCTTCACATTTCTGTTTATTCCTGAATATGAGATGCTGCTTTTACTTCCTAGAAAATACGGTCTGTAGTTGATGTTAACGGTCATGCAACTAGGACACACAGTGAAGGTTGCATATCAGCATCTAAATTGTTCATGTCCTTGTGATACTGTACCCCTGAATCTGATGTTGACATAAATAAATAATTTGTGTGTGTGTGGGTGTGAGTGACATTTTATTGTAAAAAAACAACAACAACACTACTTCGCTGTTGCTCGTTCAACACAAGTGCAGGAGAGTGCCTGAAATTGCCCCTAAGCCACTATATTTCTGAAAGTGGAATTCACGGGAGTATTGACACTAAAAGTCTTAAGGTGTGGACTTTGGCTGGAGCCCTTCTGTGTGAAGTATGTCAGACCCTGATTCATAGTGAAGACAGTTTAGCACAGCGAGTTTTGGGCAGGAAAGCTGTGACAATGCTGCCACCTGCTGTTTGGAGCACATGAGTGAGCGGTCTGATGGAGGTGCTGGTTGGGTTTTTACTTTGTGGAGAGACAGTGTTCTAATTGAACTGAACTTGGAGCCATTATAAATCACATCTGCCCTACATAGAATCTTTTGTTGTCTAGTTTGTGTGTGTTCGTCTGTGTGTGTGTTTATCCACAATCTGTCCCTTAGCATCCTTTATCACAAATTGAATACTGTTCCATTCAATAAGCCAAATACGAATGATCAAATAACAGGGAGGAAATTACATTCAGCCTTTTGTCGTATCTGATATATTGTTGTTTGGGATCACTTTAGACAGATACAGCTGCCATGCATAATCTTCAAATGCAGAAGAAGGGTTTAGGTTGACCTCATAGCCAGCGAAGCATTCGTCTTAACCTTCTTTTCCCAGTGAAGTATTCTTTTCAGCCCTCTGTCTGTGGCTCCATCTCAAAATGCCAGTCATGATTAATAGAAAGTATTGCCATCTACTGTGTGTCACCAGCATTCTGCGTGATGGACAGAGGCACTTGAGACAAACATGCAGCACTGGTAGAACTGGCCTTTTCCCCATTTAATAGAGGCTGGCATTTTTATTGTTCTGAGTGCAGGGCAAAATTGCATAGATATGAAAAAATGGTTTCTCTCTACAGCTTGTTAAAAAAGCAATTATAGAAGCTGCACAATAGCCATTGTAGAGCATGTTCTCTTATTGGTGTCATGGCTTTCATTTACTCAATTTGTCCCAAATGTCATTGGTTTATGTGTGTGTCTGTGTGTGCACGATCATGTGTGAGAGCGAGAAAAGGGGTAAGGAGGATGGGGGTGACAGATATGATTCAGGGATTAAAGAGATTTTGTGACACTGCTAAAATCTACCTATTGTGCATATAAAAGTTTGCCTATGGCTATGTAGAGTAGGTGGGTGGATGCTCTCATGACACTAAATTTGAGGTCTGTATGTACAGCATCATGTAGAGTGCATGATTATCATTCTCCAGTGATATATGTGAGCAGAAGCCTCCCCTCCAATAGGTTTTTTTTTCCTGGATCTCTCTGGAAAATTGAAACGTGATATTTATTAGTATCGTGTTTCATAGTATCTACATATATACTGTACATAAATTACAACCTCTCAGAGATGCTAGCAATGCTGTAGACTCTTAGTCTAGTTCTATAAGTACCTAATGTGCAGTAATGGGACGGTTATCTTTTTAAATGTAATAGGTTACAGATTACTAGTTACCCTGTACCGGTCTGTCTAATGACTTAATCAAAGTAATGTAATGTATTACAGTTGATTGCTCTTCAAACAAATGTTTTAAACTGGGTAATGAAGCTGCAAACATAAAAACATACATTTAAACCAGGTAGTGTAAACATCACAACTGTACTGTGTGATTGCTTAGAGCAATGTGCATTGATTTGGCAGACAAGTCAAAGTCAATTAAGAGAACCCAATGCTCAAAATTGCTATTGGTAAGTTTTCTTACCAATAACCTAGAACATGATAATAATAATAAAAAAAAACATATCAACCCTCTATGTAAAAACAGGAGCTAGACAGGAAGTTTCCATTTTAAAATAGGAAGCCAGCTCTCACAAAATGAATTCTTTGCCCAGAGATGAACAGTTTGTGATCATTAGCATGACTGGTAGCTTTGTTTTTCGAAATGAACGACTGACATTATCCCCACTCATGCATGTGTTTGGCTGATGATTCCTTTTCCTGTCTTTTCAGGTAAAGAGGAAACAGGTGATGAAGAAGAGGGTGACAATGGTAATGTAGCTCTACGGACCATTAACACATGTTCTGAGCCCCTCGGCTCTACCAGTGCTTCTTGATGTCATTTGTCATCAAAAATTGAATTTTCTATTCGCTCCAATTCAGTCTTTCCATCCTGTGTGCCACCACTCGAACAAAAAAAGTTCTCTTATCACAGAAGCTTGGAACAAAGGAATCCCTCAATTATCTATGGCTTTAGAAGTGACATTCTTTTTCCCTTCTTTTTTGTCACTTAATTTATGCATGTCTTTGTGGTTCCATTGCTCTCATACTGCAGTACAAAGACAAAGCTACACAAAGAGATGGAATGAAAAGGCTGTCTGAGGTGATATCGAAAGCCAAGTCAATTCAACTCCAGGCTGTAGCACTGAACTCAAATGTTTTCCACTCTTTTGAATCCGTCTTCTGTTTGTAGGTGCTGCGGGAAATGAAGACGTGGAGATGGCAAGTCAGAACCAAGGTATAGTACAGTTACAAATCAAGGATCCAACATGTACAGGGTTGTGATTACATGTTGTTGTCAGAGTGCAAAAAGGAGTGTACATCTTATCTGACACCTATATCGAGGAGGAGATGGGAATTGTACGAGCTGACCAACATGCAGCTCATTGCTCTGGTTTTCACTTCAGCTCCGTTTGATTAAAGATCCAACCTGATCAGTCTTGTTAGTAGCAGAGGAATAACTAGTATACAAAGCTCTAAATGCATCTGTACAGGCAGGATGAACAGACCCCGAAACTCTGATGTGTTTCGTTGTACTGACAGCAAGAGCCGTAAGTGAATTGAGAGTGTGTGTGTGTGTGTGTGTGTGTGTGTGTGTGTGTGTTACAAAGGGGCAGCCATTAACTTAGAGCTAGAACCATTTCTCTTTCTCCGAATATCCTCTGTGCTGCTTGTATATAATTAAGATTGTGCATTTGCATACTGGCAGCGAGCAGCGCCTCGCCTCTCTTCTGTTTTTGTTTTATTCAAATCCCATCCCATTGACAAAGATTTGACAGATAGAGCCTCTCTGAACATGAATTGTGTAGATATTCTATGAGAGAGTTATAGCAAATTCAGCCCTAGGACTCAATCCAGGACCTGAGATATGTAATTACTTTCTCATGAGACACAAACAGAGAGGTAGGAGCTAGGAGGAGTAACGATATATAGTTTAAAACAACACCTCCAGGCTAATTCAGCCAAAAATGCAGCGGTTGCATCACTCTTGTAAATGTGTCTGTGTGTGTGTGTGTATTCAGAGACCACAGATCAATATGTTGTTCAATTATGTGGTCTAAAATATAACCTTTGTGCACAGGCCTTTATTAGCATGTTTATTTACCACAAGTACTTTACCACATTTAACTTTGTATTATTCTTACACTCAACACACACATTTAGTTTTTTAACTACTGATACTGGACATAGCAGACACAAGCAATCTAGGGACTGAAGCTTTATGTCCTGAACACAAGTACTGTAAATCAGCTGTTTTACAAATCTACATTTAAACTAGCTTATGTAGCCTAAAACAACCACTTTTTCTTCAAAAATGTGTTTTTCTTTCTTTCCTGTCAACCTCTGTGCCTATCTAACTGGAAAAGAGCAACCTGTTGAAGTGGAAATGTTTCAGAGAGATTTCTGTCAGCAATAACTATGTATCAGCTTGTTTTCTGCTGTGTGTTCCAGGATTTAACATGAAGGCTTTGACTCCCTATGCCTGAATTAGTCCTTCAAAACATACTTCTTTTTATATTTCATTGTTTCTGTGATTCCAGATGAAAATCCAGGAAGCGAGGAGCCAAATCAAGAAAAGGTTAAGGATGAAGATGAAAATCAAGAGAAAGATGAGGATATGGGCATCGACAAGGGCAACAACAAAGATGAAGACAAAGGCATAGACAATGATGAAGATAAAGATAAAGATGAAGACAAAGGTATGTACATAAGGGGTACAAGTGTTTGTTTTTATTCTATTACATCAAAAACTTTGAGGTACACAAGTTGTCAGTCACAAATATTTATACCAAACTGAAAAAGGTTGAGGTGATTGTCTGATTTCCTGATAGTTATTTTATTTTATAGCTGTATGCAGCAAAATGTCCACAGGGCACTGAGGCAAACAGATATGAATAAGTCAGTTCAATGTATGAAACCCTGATGGCTGACATAATGACAGCATAACAAAATGGAAACACAGATGTTTACATTTTTGGTTTACCAGCAGTCTAAAATTACATGGTTGGGAGATGGAACACTGAAAATGTACAATAAGGGTGTTCCACACTCGAGTGTGTTTTTTCATTTCTTCCTGACGGTGTTTGAATCTATGTAAATGTTTCTCTCAGCACAGAATAAGCTAAACCAAGCGAAGAGGAGCTAGGGCTCAGATTGTGTGCAGTATTACATACTATATAGACATAGAATATTCTATAGCAGAGACTCAGAGTCCACAGCACGTCCACACTGTAAAGACACCATATTATTAACACATACAGTACGCACATAAACAAAGCTGATCTGTTTGAAGATATGACAGCTCAAACTTCTTTCTGCAGACATGTGGGTGCAATCACCTGTCTACAAAGATGCTGAGGTTGTATTAATGTCTACTGTAACAAACCATAATAACTTTGTTTCCTTTTTCCAGCAGAGGAAGAGAAGCCTGCGGCGAAGACAGAAGATGACGACACAGCAAAGTCCTCTGTGGAAATGGAAGGTAAGATCCGATTTGCTTGGATTTGATATGATTTGATTTGACCTGATTGAAAGCCTGACTGACTGACTTTCTATCAATGTGATGTTCTCATCCAGTCTGGTGTATTTGTATACTTGTGTATTGAATTAGTATGGTCAGTGTTGTTTTTGTTGTCTGCTGTTTGTCAAACTAGTTTTCCCCCAGAATCAATCTCAGCCTATCTTAAAATCTAATGTATCACTCATGCAACATCACTTTGTACAGCAAGTACTAGGCATTGCAGAGAGCCTCAGGTGGAATAACCTGAGGTTATGGAGGTGCTGAGAACAGCCAATCACAGCAGATTAAAAAATGAATACTGACTAAATAGCTATATAGAATAGGCATTATTCTTTTACGGGTGGATTTTGACTGTAAGCTGGTCATTTTAACATCATATAAATTGCCAATTTTGCATTTAGGTGTCAGCTTAAACTACCGATTATTGTCTTGGTTGTTAAAGAGTAACTGAATCCAGACCTCTTGCCCTGACAGCTAATGGTAACAACATGCTTTTTTTCTCGCTGCGTGTAGCAGTGATGTAGTGTGGTTCTACAGTACTACACTACATCACAGCTGGGTGTCACACATAAAACTGTACTGCTGTTTAAGAAGTTATACCTTTTAACCCATAGGCCAGTGTAGCTATGATTTTCCCCCAATCAAAATCTAGTGAGTTAATGCATCTGATTTGCACAGCAGCTAGCTTAAAGGACCAGTGTGTAAGATTTAGTGGCATCTAGCAGTTTAGTTGCAGCGAAACGGCCAAAAAAATTTCCCTATCTAGAGCCAGTGTTTGGTTTGTCCGTTCTAGGCTACTGTAGAAAGATGGTGATGAAACATGGCAGCCTCCATGGAAGAGGACTTGTGCCTTCTGTAGATAAAAAAGGCTAATTCTTAGGCGATAGATAACGATTCTTATTCTCAGGTGATTATACACTAATGAAAATATACCTATAAATATTATAGGCCTATTCCACTTCTGCCAATAGCTCCTCATAAATGTTGGACCTGCTGGACCTTTTAACATAGCAAGTAGCTAGCATCTGTTGTGGCTCTTTGTGCTTCAAAACAGCATACATATGAGGCTGGCCATTTTTTTACAATAAAAACATATAAATGATGCAAGCCATTTTATGTGTTCACCTGTTCCGCCATGAAAACAGGCACTGTAGTTTGTTTAGAGTCAATTCCACGTACACACTCTGCTGCTGTAAATACTCATTAGAGCACCAAATGTGTGTTAATCTGCATCTGAAAATGGTCCCCAACAAATACACTATTTACTCCTGTTTGAGTAATGTTTGTTAAGAACTAAAGTTTCTTTTCTTATTCTATATTTTTGTGACCTGTTTTTAAAGATTTTTATAACGGTTTTCAGTAGGAACAAATTGGTTCGATGCTCAGTGCCACAGACACGGTGGAGAAGTTTTAAAGTATTGAGAGACAGACATACACATCGAAATAATTTGCAATATTTCAGACCAAGAAAAAGGCTGTACTTAGAGGAAATAAATCCCATTTTTAGTGATAACAGTGTTTAGTGTTATACTTTAAATTAAATTGCACCGCACAGCTCTTTACTTACTTTCTCATCTCTCTCTGTTCTAGCCAGGTATTTTGCCTTTATTTGCATGCAGCCACTGCAGTTGAGCTCCTTGATAAGGCCAGCCACGCCTCTACCTTCTGCGTATGTTTTTTCATTGACCACATGGGATAATCTATCTTTATTTATCCCCATTTTTCTCTGACTGACTGACTAACGCTGGCTAACATTGTTACTGATTAAGGGTATTCTCTGGAGAAGTTGAGGGTTAGATTTGTGAACCCCAGCCACCTCTCTCCCACCACTGCACTAACACAAAGGTCTGAGTCACTCTCTCACCTCCATTTCACTTTCCCTTTGACTGACATTCAATTAATTTAGGGTGAGAGTGAACATTCCAGACAGATCTATCTTAGATAGCCTTCTCCATCCTCCCTGAAAAGCCATTGGAATACGTCCTACAAACACTACAGGGTTTCCATCATTGGAAAGCTTCACTCCAGCCTGTTGATTGTGTCTTGCCTGAGCCCCGCCAGTGTCTGTCACTGTCTTTGGTTACCATGGGTTGTGTGGTGGCACTGTCAAGCAGTAAACAGTGGTGTCATTCCTGATTGCAGGCAGATTGCATTTTGTACAGAGGAGCAGGGCCTTGAACAGAGTGCAGACCCAATGTCTCGGATATTGAATCTCATGCGGGCCTACACAGCCCAGCTTATCCATGCGTAACCAGCTATTCACAGGACAAGACCAAATGATTCCCGAGCCAATACCCTTTATTAAAAATAATAACTGTAATCAGGCTATGCGCTCATGGCCATAGAGGTTAAATCTGCTTCATTGAAAGGAGTAATAAATGGCTCATAATGATGGGAGGAATGAGTAATGAATCAAACAATTTGAGGACAGCTGAATATGAGGTTGCTACGCGCACACATGCATACACCTTCTTGGGAGTTTGAGTGTCAGTGTGCTTTTGCCAGTGTCTTATATTCACAATCAAGTAGTAAATTGAGAGCACAATAATAGAAATGGTGATATATGTTTTGTATTCATCCTTCTCACAAACACTGTTGGCTGATGTTTTGACAGAAATGGGAGCAGAGCTCACTCTGATTGTAGCTCTGTGGCCATTTCTAAAACAAATTCATGCATTTGAGCAAAATATTACTAATCAAATTGACAAATATCCCAGCAGCCCTATTTACATTTGCAGAATGTAATTTCTCTGTGAGGATACACCTATCTTATTTAATAATGAATCTCTGATAAACAGAAATATTTTCCCAGCTTTGTCAAGGTGAGAGAGTCACCCAAGACATGACCATTTTAGAAATGAGCCATCATTGCCAACTTGCTAACAGTTGCCAAAACTAGAGATAAATCTGATGCTCTTAAACACGAGAGCAAGGAAAAGTAATTTAGAAAGAAGGGATCTGCTACCTCTTGCAGTCTTTTCTCTTTGATCTTACAGTGAATGCTGTTAGAGTAATGCTTTCTAATGTGTTGTTAGGTTAATTGTTCCATCATGTACCCTGATTCATAGGCCTCTGAGCAGTATCTACAGCTCTGTAGCTGACATCAGACTGGGTACACTGCATCTGTGGCTGTGGATGCATTTGATTTCAAAATGACCAGTGGGATACTTTCTAGTCCCCTGAATATTACCATAGCATGAGGTTTGTCTGATTAACGTCATAATGAACAGGTAAAACTGTAAATATTAGATCCCACATTGCAGATAATGTCGCTACAGCGTTGTTAAATTTCTTTCTTTGTCTCTGCACATTTATATTCACGTGCTAACAGTTGTCTGCAATGTCTGTTGACACCCTGTTGTTCTCACAGAGCTCAATATTGCACATATGGAAGTGTGTATCACAGCTAAGCATCTCAGTCCCAGCTCAGTCACACTAAATAATACAAAGCTAAAGAAAACAGCTTTGTGTTTTATTCATTCTTCTTGTTAATTATAACTTGTTAATGTAATAATGCGTTCAGTCTACACACATTTCGTTATATTCAATAAGGATGTAGGATACTTCATAGGTCATTTGCTGATGTCTTATCAGTTCATATTACCATGCCATCTGTTGTTTACATTGCAGGGCTGTTCATATTAATATGCAGTTGTGTTTAAGCGTTTTGTATTGTTGTTCTTAGCTTTACAAATGACTACAGTTTAATGCAATGTTAGAATCATACAAGAGCTATAAGATCCAAACAATATGTAACGCATATTATATTCTGGGGATTATGTTATCTGTTCTCTAGAATATCTGTATGGAGTACAGATATGTAAGGAAGTAGACAGAGGAGAGATTTGTATTTTAAATCAGGCTGCATTCTCCACTATATGAATCATATGTATTAGATATCTCCCTGCACAGGCAATGAGATTCTCAGTCTAATATTTGGGATGTTATAAAGCCCCCCCCCCCCCCAAAAAAAAAAAAAA